CTAGACATTAGATCTGTGCCTACTTATTGTTTAGTTTGTAATCTTGTTTCTCCTCAGAGCAACCGGTGAGATTTGAACCGCTGAACTGCAGATAACAGTCAGCTGAAGTGGCCTGCAGTACTGCACCCTAACCACTGCGCCACCTCGGCTCCTTAAAATCTTTTAAAATCTTCATTTTAAATCTGAAAAAATAGTTTTATAGTAGTTCAAATTTCTGTTATTTGGATTAATGTAAAATTGTTTACTTCTAACTAATAAAGCATAAGCTGTTGGGTTTTTAAAAGTCAAACTCTGTTTTAAATATTTTGAGGAGTTTAACTCAGCATCTTTTGTTCTTCAGCAGTTTCTTTTCAGTCTGAATGCATTTTATTGAGAGAATCCAAACTGATATTGAGAAAGATAGGTTTCTATTGTTTATATTGCTATTAATCTTTGGTTGTTTTGCCAGGGAGAAAGATGCTCATTTTCTATCCAAATGTGGCATTATTTCTGCTGTGCTCTTCAACGTGACCTATGGACTGTTCTATCTCCTATATTAGCTCAGGAGATTCTAACAGAAGTGCTGGAGGAATCATTAGCACTTTTGGCTTGCCGATATTTTCAGGCCCAGCCCAGTTACAAACGGACACCACAAATAAGGTAATAATTTCGCAAAATTATGCACTTTGAATGAGATGATAGCAACACTAGCTTATTCTTAACCAAAAACAGCTATTAGAAATGAAAGAGGAGTGTTACAGTTAAAATAACATTAAAATCATATTTAAAAAAATAAAGGCAATTGATTTAAAGATAAAACAAAAACAACACATTAAAATCTTGTTAGAATCAAAACGTATAAAGGAAAATAGCCAGATGTTTGACCATACATTTGATAGGTTATTTTACTTTATTTTATTGCTATTTTACTAAATTAGGGTGTCCAACTTGTGATGACTTTGGGTGGTTTATGTTTTATTTTTTAACATTAGATACTGTTAAAAAATAAAGACAATTAAAAAAAAGAAAAATCTGAAGATACCAAAAAAAAAAAAAAAACCACTAAAAGAAACCAATAGGGACTTAGCAGCTATCATTCAACCAGGCCTAGGAGTAAAACTAAATTTGGAAAACAACCTTTGGAACACTATCAGAGTAGGAGTTGTATGGATCTCTGGTGGATGCTATTCCAGCACCACAACAGGGAAGGTGCATTTCCATAACATGACATTGATTAATTGAAAGGATGTGGAGCATGCCCATTATGTCTGATTATAACGGATGGCAGCAACAAGAGATAAGTGGTCCTTGACATATGAAGGGCTTTATGGGCAATAAGAATCTGGGATTGCATCTAGAAGCCAACTGGTAAACAACAAATGTTGTCGCAGTACTACTGACCTCAGTCCTGATTAATACAGGTCCAGATAAACTGCTTCACCCAGGGCATGCCACAGCTGGAAGTCCTCTGCCCTTTCAGCAACCTTCCCAAAACAGCAAAAGCTGGAGATTGGATGGATCCAAATCTTACTCATAGTCACTCATGCCTTATTTACCTCCCAACTGGATTATTGCAATGCACATTAAAATAGAGCTGCCTTTGAAAATCATCCAGAAGCTGCAACTGGTCCAGAATGCAGCAACATGTGCAGTTGTGGGCATCCCACAGTTTGTCCAAATTACAACACTATTAGGTGAACAGTACCAGCTCCTGTCAAGTGGAAGAAATCAGGAGTCCAGGCAATTATAGCAATAGCAGTAGACTTATATACCGCTTCATAGGGCTTTCAGCCCTCTCTAAGCGGTTTACAGAGAGTCAGCATATTGCCCCCAAC